TTGCTATTTGATATTTCGACTCGCGGGGGAATGAATTGTACATGCTGGTTCTTGCGAGGTAAACTTGCGCTTCAAGATTTCATACACGCTTACAGCCTTTCTACCGACTTGACAGTAAATGCATTCCCAAACTTTTGCACTGCAGAAACATGTCGCCAGGCTTGAAACTGCGAAGGGCGCCTCGCAGACTGTTGAATGACCACATCAACGGTACCCGACCATCAAGTCCCGTATTCTCTCCAAGGGAATCCTCGACATGCTTCTACAAGGCTCGTGACAGCCCGGAAACGGCATGCCGATCCCGTCAGCTCTGGAATAAGCGCCGTCGACTCAATGACGAGATCCCGTCTGAGGGCCTCACGCTGCTCGTCAGCCCGGAAATGTCGTCCGTCATCGACATGAACGATGACGAAGTCGTGGCCGCGTTCAAGCAGGAAATTCGACCTTCATCGAAAGAGCAATCTGGCAGCAGCAGGTATCAAGAGAATGCGCTGGACGCGGACAAGCAGGACAAAGTTAACCCTGATGAACGGGCCTTGAGTTCTTCATCATCGTCGTCGTCATCTTCGTCTTCGTCATCATCGTCGTCGTCGAAAACTGAGGGACTCGTTCAGCGAGACGCCGATGGCTTCGTGCCGTCGGGGAATCAGGTCCCGTTGTTGAATTCTAAGTTGAGCAAGGTCTGCTGCTTTCCGAAATGTCCCAAGAGCTTCTGCGACTTGGAAGCTGAGAGTCTTGTTGGTGAGAAACATTCTCTATACTATACAGTTTGCTCTTCATGATAGAAAGGAGTGAAAATTTTTGAATGCATTCCTTTTTGGTTTTGCTACTAAAATGATGGAATATAATTCGGTCATCTTTTAAAGATCCCGCTCCCTTTTTCACTTGTTTCAGGGATGAACGCGTAAAAATGATTGTTATAATCGAGGATTAATTTGATACCTAATAATGCCATACAAGATAATGAAAGCGGATTCAAACGAAATAAACAGGATAGACGTGAAGAAATTGAATAATTTTTTATTTCAAACATTCGCTAAGGTTTGTCCGAATTTATTTTCATTACCCAGAAATGAATTTATCAGTGTACTGTACACAAGTTTTTTAGTGGAAATTCGCGAAAATATTTAGAGATCAGTCATGATCAAGAATTTCAATTTCCTTTAAAGATGTTCTTCGATAAAATCTCTCTGAAGTGCTTTCTGGAATATTTTGCGTATTTGGTCTGCCTCAATATTTATTAATTCTATGACAAAGCCTGTCCAAATCTAAGCAACTTTTTTTGCAGTGAAATTCCTGTTTGAGAGCTTAGTCGCTAAGAAGATTCCTTAAATATTTGGGAGCTATTCTGTAAAACACCTGCGTGTGCATAACGTTTTCCACTGTCCACGGCAGGAAAGCTTGTTTTCGGTTTTTTAAGAATTGCTGTCCCTTGCCCAACAGCAAAAATTTGACCTGTCATCAAGAAGTTGAACTAAAATTAGTTTTTTTATTTAATCACGTCAAGTTACATTCGTATTCAACGGAACTTCACCGTTTGATGCGCTCGCTTCTGTGAATTTACGAGGTATGCGAATTCAATCCTAACCAGTTTCTTCTTTATATTCTGTGCCACCACAATGAAGATTTCACAGTATTTGTTCGATTATTTTTCCATCAACCTGGGATAAAGTAGTATTTTACGCTAAAGAGTGAACGAGCGACGAAAATGCAAGACCAATCTAATGCTGGACATTTCCTGCGTGGAAAATGAATTATATATATTTTTTTTGACATCGAAATCGTGCTCATTTAGACAACTGCAAACGGAGTTTCACCGAGTATCGAGGAAAGGTCGTGCTGATAACGAATGTTGCCACCATGTCGGACAATGCTCGGAAGGAGTTCACGGAAATGAACTGTTTGGTAGAGGAACTCGGCTGTGAGAACTTCTCTCTGCTCGCTTTCCCCAGCAACACCTTCGGCGACGTGAGAAAAATTGTTCCCCTGAATCTTCATCTTTCCATTCTAATGCCATACCTATATATGAAACAATGAATCATAAAATTGAGAATTGTCAGAGATGGAGATCACTTGATGGTGGTCTTGTTGAACGGAAGTAAGGCTGAGATACTGCACAGAACAATAGATTTTCATCTGCGGGCGAAATTAAGTCAGATAAATGTCAGCGATATATGGCGGATGAGTGGATAATAAAGAAGATGCAAAAACAATGGACCGACTTCGAACGGCTTGAGTTATTTGTTCCAAGAAAGTTTCAAATGCCAGCAGTTTACTGAATTATCTTCTAATTTCAGTTTTACGCTTTCCAGTGAATTATGTCTGACAATAACGCTTGGAACAATTGATTGTCAACTGTCGTGAGAGCAAGTTGGTCACGTGCTTCTAAGAGTTTTGACTGATTTTTTTCGAGACAATGTTTTCGTTCTTGTATATATCTTATTTTTTGTAAGGATTTTTCAAGCTTTCCATTAATTTTACAGGATGGCGAAGATAAAGCTTTATGTTAGCAGAATTCAGCTATCATAAAAATCTGTGATGGCTTGGCTAAAATTATACAGACTTTTTTAGTTTGGTTTTCGTGATAAGAATGCACGGCAAAATTACATGAGGTTGATTGATTTTTCGTCACGAAAAATGCGAAATTGAGCAAAGAAAGCTCAACAATCCGAATCTGCTCCCATCCGAATCTGTTCATCCAAAATTAAATTAACTGTACTTTTTTTACTGTTTCTCCGGCAAATTATATGCGGACACGCAGATTTAGGCACACACAATTCTTTGATTACTTGAAAAATCCACTATTCAAACGCCAAAAATTCAAGGATTACTTGAGCAATGTTCTTGATCAAGATGCAACATTTTTCTGCATTTATAATTTTGCTATTGCTTTCTGCTCAGCATCATGACTCTCGTAAATCAACTAAAACTAATAATGCTTCATCCAAGATTTCAGCTTTCTTTTAGCTCAATCAAGAAATGAATTTGCGCACTCGAATGAAATATGCCATCAAGTTGGAGGCATCATGACATACAATAGAGCTCTGATTTACAGTATCGTTAATATTTGGATTTTTTGAAAAAAAAATATATATTCGAGTATATGTTGTACAGTATCACCTCTTTTATCACGATATCCAACGAAGGAACCTGGGGATAATGAAGAAATTCTTAACATGCTGAAGTGCGTTCGACCTGGATGCGACTTTCAACCCAAGTTCGAAATGTTCCAGAAAGCGGATGTGAACGGAGAAGAAGAAAGCAGCATTTTCAAGGTCTGTATATTCTCGACCAGCCACTACGCATTAAAAAAATAAAACAAGATACTGTACTATAAAGGATAACATTAATAAAATAAATGCATCTTCGAGATGCGTCTTATTTCTTGTCCCACAGTTTTTTCCTCGTGGGAATAATGAAGTACAGTATAGTGTTTCTATCCAGTACTTAAAGAAGAAACTTCCGGTGCCACAAGACTGCCCTTTATGGATAGCAGGAAGCTGTAAAGAAATAAGGTGGAAGCCGATTCTTCGCACGGATATCAGCGGGAACTTCGAGAAGTTTCTCGTAAATCACAGAGGAGTTCCTGTTCAGAGGTAGTCTCGTCATTGTTTTGAGTTGAAACTTCTGAAATGTTTTTCGAATCGCGGAAAACATTGTAAAAAAATATATATACCCAGTTACTGCACCTTTTTCTTTTGTTCCAGCCCCAGAAATTAAGAATTTCATATTGCATAGAGCTTTAAATTGCCAGGATCAGTTAAATTTCATTCGAATCAATTTAATAGTCGCACAGTAATGTTCGTCAAGAAAGCATCATGTGTGTGAGAAACGGACATTAATTTTTTAATTCGGAATGAGAGCGATACCATATGAGGTATTCAACAACTTTTGCGAAATGAAACACATTCTAAAATTAATTATTTTACGTTATCCAGGGACGACCCAATGCTTTTTTAATTTACCACGTTTTTATGAACTCACTTTCTTGTCTGTCTGTCTGTCTGTCTGTTTGTC